TTCAAAGCCAAATGTTATAGGGATTGTCTTCTCTGTGCGGGCTCTCTGGTGTGGTAGTCTGTTTGCCTCCCTTCCCCATACCCATGGGTCCCTCTCTCCAGCGAACCTCATGCAGGTCTGTTTAACATCCCCCCGCCCCAGTGTCTCTACCCTTCCTGCCTTCTTCAGTGTGGCCTCTTCTCTACATTTAGCAGTGGAGTCTGTTCTGCCAATCTTTGGGTTGTTTTCTTGGTTATATACACTGATGTGGGTGTTAGCTAGTTGTGTCTGTGGGACAAGGTGAGGCTGGGATACTCCTCCTCTGCCATCTTCCCTGGAAGTCAGGGGTGAGTATATTTGTCCAAGGTCAGACAAGTAGGAAGTGGCAGAGAAGAGACTTGGACGGAGATGGACCCCGGAGCCCCTTGCTCCCCACAGTGTAAGCCATGGACCTGCAGCTTTGCAGCACGTGGATCTTGTTAGAAATGTTGACCCTTAGGCTCTGTTGCAGACTGCCTAAATCAGAACCTGTATCTTCACGAGACCCCCAGGTGATTCTTGGCATGTCACCGTGTGAGGAGGGCTGCTCTTAGTCGCTCTGCTGATGGAGACTTCCTAACCAGGGGGGGGTTTTCTCTGTTAGGCAGGTGCCCTAGAACTTCAGGTCTGTGAGTCATTTGATGGCACCTTGGAGTCAAACAGAACCTGTCTTCCTAGGAGAAAGGGCCCTTTTTTGTTTTTTGCCTTTAATGGGTCTTTCAGTCAGTGCATTATGACATGTGGGAGGGAGAAATGGGAGTTTTCAAGCTGTTCTTCCAATAATAAGCTTCTAATTTTTCATGTTCATGATGTAAGTCAAGCACAAGCTGGGCTCTGTGAGCATTTCCTCTTCTGCATAGCAGTAAAGGTAATATAAGCAACAAAACTGTAGGGCACCTTCCCATTAAAGGAAACCAAAGAATTGATAGTGTGTGTAAAGAACTGAGGAAGCATTTTAAAAAAGAATCTGCTCCTTTTACATTCTTCCATGTCAGAAACAAAATCCAGAATCAGTACAAAGCAGTTTCAAGATGCTTACAATCTGACTTTGTGCACATGCCCCAACCTGCATTGCAGTCATTGTATTAAGGGCTAAGACACAATTTAACAGAAATAAGGTCAATCTTGTTGTGACCTATGTTGATAAGGAGTTGAAATTCAAGAGTTTGGTTCTTAGTATTTTACAGTCAGTTAAAGATACTTAAGTTTGCAGGTTGGAGCTAGAACACGCACTAGTAAGTATGATAGACATTGAAGAGTGAGACAAAAAGAATTAAAAGACACTGTGTCTCCCTATCTGTGAAATGAGGAAGTAGAACTAGATTTCTATACTTCCTTCGTACCTTAACGTCTTATGATTCTGTATAACAAGAGTAATTATAAAAATATTTAAGGAGCCCTTCGAAATAGTCTCCTTTACTCCTTACAAGAACCTATGAGATTCCTTTTATCAATCCTATTTTATAGGTGAGGAAACTGGGGCACAAACATATCAGTCACTCACCAGGTTATATCCTAAGAGGTGAAGCTAATTCGCACTCAGCAGTGTGACTCGAGCCTTGCTCTCATACACCCTACCCACTTGCCCTCTCTCTTTATGGCAAGCATGCCTCTAGCTTCTCAGCTCTTGTTACTGGTGCATTAGAAACACCACAAGCAGAAAGGAGGCATTTCCACATGGAGGGCATCCATCGACCTCCTAAGCAACTGTCAACCTAAGTTGCATTTTGAGTCCCCTAGGATCCTTCAGCAGCACTGATGCGTGCGTCCCACCCTGAGATTCTAATAGGGTCAGTCTGGCACGCAGTCTAGGCATTGGGCTTTTCTCTTAAATGTTCCTTAGAAATTCATATGTGCATAGCCCAGGTTGAGAGTGACTATTCCAAATTTTCTGGGATTGGGGTTGGTTCTGGAGGCAGGTTCCACCACATAGGATCAGGTACTGACCTTATATGTTAACCATTTGTATCATAATGCAAGATTTTAAATTCTACTTAAAATGGATTCATCTGTGTTTGACCGTACCATCTGTTGTTTTAAAATTTTTTCTTAGAGTCTTTTAAGTATTCCAGTGTTTTATTACACACTGATAGAGTTAAAAGAAAGGAAAAGAACACAAAGTAATTCCTACTGAAAGCAACCATTACGTTATTTTACTCTTTTGGATCAACTTTTTCACAAATTGTGATTATGATTTTTGGTCCCTTCTATGTAAGATATGATAAATAGTATCAGTACATAGACAAATGGCAGTGGATTTTATATTTAAAAGTACAAATAAATTAGCTATTGTGATGCCCAACCATTTTTTTTAAATTAAATATTAGTTATCACTTAAGTTCCACAAAAGCAAGAATCATGTCTGTGTTAACTTCTGTATCTCCATCCCCTCCCACAGACCTTGGCCTATTATAATGGGTACTATAAGACTACTCTACAACTAATGAATGTGTAAATAAATGAATGAGTTATAAATAGCTTCACATAATGCGGAAACTCAAACTATTGCATGCTTATACCAAAAAATGACTCTGTCAAAAGAAAATAGTACTTTTGTTAAGACCCTCTCTCATTCTTACAGGTCATATGAAAGATGTTGGGGAGGGGAGGACTGTAGTAATAGAGAATTTGGGGTTGTTTTTAGAGATGGTGAGGGGCAGAGGGAGAGAGAGAATCTTAAGCAGGCTCCACCCCGAGTGTGGAGACTGACACAGGGCTCAGTCTCACTACCCTGGGATCATGACCTGAGTCGAAACCAAGAATTGAACACTTAACTGAGCCAGCCGGCACACCTTGTTTTTTATTGAGGTGCAGTTAACACATGGTGTTACATTAGTTACAGCTGTACAACATGGTAATCAGACAACTCTATACATTGTCGCATTCAACACCAGTATAGCTGCCATTTGTCACCATAAAATGCTGTTACATTATTGACTGTATTCCCTCTGCTGTATCTTTCATCCCTGTGACTTATCCATTCCCAAACTGAAAGCCTGTCCCTCCCACTCCCCTTCACTGTTTTCTTGTTTCCTCTCCACACCCCTCACCCCTCTGGCAACCACCAGTTTGTTCTGTGTGTTTATGTGTCTGTTTCTACTTTGTTTTTTATATTCCACATGCAAGTGAAATCATATGGTATCTTTCTCTGACTTATTCACTTAGCATTATGCCCTCTAGTTCCATCCATGTTGTCACAAATGGCAATCTTTTTTTATGGCTGCATAATACTCCTTAGAACATATATACCACATCTTCTTTATCCATTCATCTATCTATTAAACTACGTGTCTCTTTCACAATGACAGGATCTTTTATCAAGATTTGAGAGAGAGAGAGAGAGAGCGCATGGGGGGGAAGGGCAGAGGAAGAGAGAATCTCAAGCAGACTCCCCGCTGAGTGTGGAGCTCGACACGGAGCTGGATCTCATGACCATGAGCCGAAACCAAGAGTCGGACGCTCAACCGACTGAGCCACCCAGGTACACCTCACAATAACAGAACACTCACATCTATCTACTGGTTATTGGTGAATTGAATACTTATGTGCTAAGCTCTGGATAATGAAAGAAGTACATGCTATCCCTCTAGGTTGAGACTTTGTGAATGTTCTAGAAGTGTGAATAGTAAAATTTTATCTGACCTCTGCTAACATGGGTCTGTTGCTGCCCATTTCCACGGAGCAGTCTGACTGAGATGGCTTTGGGGAGAGGGCAAAGAGATGACAGAGGCCCTTAAGCCTTGCTGACTCTATAGAAACTGCACTTAACTCCTTCACTCCAGTGTCCTTATTAACCATTCCCTGGTTAGTTATGCACTGTGTGGCACGTGGTCCACCCTTGCACTGTGCTCGACTAGTTTTTTTCTGATTTCTGTCTTAGAGGATTTTAACCATGAATCCCTTTACAACTTTCCTTCTAGACGGGTCTGTTGGGTTAATGCCTCTGCAGACCTGGCCTCAGCCACTGCTACTCACTGCTTCCCCCATCCTAACAGCTGGGCCAGATGCCTTTCAGAGTCAGCAAAACCTGTTTTTTAAAGGTACAAGAGAAAAAAAACACTTGCCATGTGACCATAAGCAGGAGCTACTGGAAGAACCCAGGCTATTGGCTTTTTTATGGTAGCTGCTGTTTTGAAATCATTCTTAAGTTCATTTTCTTCATCTCTTTGAACCTTGTCTTTTCCTCAGTGGTTGAACCATGATTAGACCCTTTTAGTCTTAAGGAACTGCCTTTAACCATTTACTTTATGCTACCCCTCCTGGTCACAACTTTCATACATTCCTCTTTTCTCGGCCCTCATGTTGTATGTATGTGGAACCCAGCCACCTAGAATATTTCACTCTCTTCTTCCTTTAGAACAAAATCTATTAATCCCAGTCTGTTTTTCCACATTGTCCTTTCATGGGGTAGAGTGCCAGAGATCAGGTCTCATTAAGATGTTTTCATTTAGGGTAGAAGGCTTGATCTTACCCTTACTTCCGTGGTCTGGACAGTTTAAAGCATTACCACGTACATCTACCCCATATTCCGAAATAGTCTCAGCCCCAAGGGCATGACCCACTGTGAGACTGTGGCAAATGATCTGTAACCAGCAACAACATGTCAATGTTTGTAAATGGATCCAATGATACTCCTATTTATCGACTACTGTCACTCCTGGGCATTGCTGCAGGATTTTTTAAGAAGGAGAGAAAGGGATAGAATCACATAAAGCCATTGCCATGACGTCCAGCACAGGTCATGTATGCCCTAGCCAAGACACTTTGAACGATTATGGTGGTTACATATTCTAGTCCTTAATCTGGGTAGGTCCATGGGACTGTGAATAAAAGTTCATTCACACTGGTCTGTCATTAAAATACCCATCACATTTCTTTGGGTGGCAAAACCAGTCTGATCTTCAAAAAACTAAGAAGACTAAGATTCACTATATAAGACCAAGTACAGTAGAAAACCGTTACTTAAGTTACTAGACAGATAAGACATTTTGCATTGGAAATTTATTCAAGATAGGGCATGCTATATTATGTGAGCTCTATATACATGCCTTATTTTCAGTTATTAGATTGTGATAATCCAGCTAGAGAAAGCTCATAAAATTGCTTAAATCTAAACAAAATCCTTTGGTGAAGAAAATATTTTCAGGCCAGTCAGTTCTGCCAAATCAGTCTTTGGCGATCAATATAATGTCACAGCCGAACTGCGCTCACATCTAAAATATCTTCTCAGAAGAAAGCAACTTTGCCATAAGAACTGTTACTCTTCACGCCATGGTATCATTGCTAAATGACATCTCCCAGTTTGTAGGTATCTTGAATAAAACCATCTTTAAGATCATTTTCTTTTGACATCAACTGTGCAATAGAGCCCAAAGGGAAAAAAAAAAAACCCTCAATCACAGAAAATATCACAAACTTGAGTTTGGCTCCATAAAATAAAAAAAGCAATTCAGGTTTTTTATAATTTTAGAGTTTGTTTCACATATGTTGTGTTACTAAGCAAAGAACACTTGCATAAAAAATTTATTTCACACTTTTATACAAATATCCACAGGTATTTTCTAATCATAATTTTACAGTGCTAGTTAGTATTAAAATGTATCAAATGCAAACAGACCAGTGACTTGACTTGAGATGACGTTTTTAACAAACACCATTACATTCTTTGTTGTTGAACCAGACCTCCACCTCCTCCCTCCCTTTTAGGACTCTTTTTTTTTTACAACAAAGGTCTATACACACTTTCAAAATATCAGCTGCTTGGCAACCCATAAAGCCTGTGCATTCGGTTACAAGTTACCTACCTAAGCAAGACACGGAGATGTCAACACTGGTATGACCTGTTTTAGAGAAATTTTTGTAAACAAAGTATCGTTTGTAAAACTATCTTAGTGAATGAAAATTCCAAGGTACAATGAGAATAATGTCCTTAGTATCTTAAGGGCATACGATTTCTGAAAAGAAAACAAACCAAGCTCCGAAGCAACAATGGCACATACAGTTGTATTTTGTCCTGAAAAGATCCAAACAAATTAGCACCTGTTTGCTGTTATGCCCCATATAACATTTTGAAGTAAATTTTTAAAAATTCAGATTTCCTATCTATTCAATGTCTCTTGAATGTGTAGAAATGTTTTCCTCCTCTGCCACTTAATTTTTACATTTAAAATGGTAGCGCAGTCCCAAAGTAATTTTGGGGAATATAGCGTAGGAGGAAACAAAGCAAAAACCAGAACACTGACTCACTGATTAAATGATTCCAGTAACATTTAAAAACGTAAAAGCCATGATGTTCTGACTTCTGGTATCAGATACTCAGTAGTCTCACGCTGGATCCATTTGGACCCACCGTAGGCACCAGCCCTTTCAGTATTTGCAGCAGGGCCTACACTGTGCCAAAGTTCAACAAACCAACCCCTCATTTCTGAGAGATCCTGAAAGTTACAGCACAAAATATGCAGATCTCACACAGGGCTCTAAACTCAAAAATATGCACTGTCTGATAAGAATTAAACATCTTACAGTTAAATCCTATTTCTGAAACAGTCTGGGTCTGGAGAAACGGGGTGAGGGCTGTCATGAAGGGAGATGTAATAACTTATAAAGGATTTTTTTGTGTGTGTGCACTAAATTCAAACCACATTCTGATTGTTTAATCCAACTGGAAGGGTAAACTGTAGAATCTTTGGCCTGTCAATAACAAAATGGTTTGTAAAAAAGAAAAAAATAAATACCATATACAAGTAAGTATACCTAGCATTCAAGTCTGTTGCAGCCGTGTGTTTTAGTGAACAGGAAGGGTGAGACCAGGATGTTGTGTGGTGTGAGGAGGATTCACACATCTGGGAAAAGACGGCAGGATGGCCACATCACCTATTGCACATTTCACTTCAGAGAGCACTCGGCACTGAAATGCAGCCACCCCGACGGCCCGGGGCCTAGGGGAAGAAGGGGTGCAGAGGCTGAGCCACTGAGGACGGCCGGCCCTGGCACATGCCAAGCAGCCACACCAAAAACAAAGGCAACCCGGAAAGTTAAATGAAGGCAGTTAAAGCAGACTCCACTCCAACAGTCTTAAATGCGGCTGTGCAAGCCCAGGGAGCCTCAGGCTACACGACAGCATCCACGGTGAAAGCTGTAAGTTCGGACCGTGCGTAGTCTGTCTGAAAGTAATATTCAGGTATGGAGCAGGCTTGTAAGTCCACTTAGACTTCTGAGTTAGTGGGGGAAAAGCAGTTTGGGTGCTGTGAAGCTTTTCTGGGCCCCTTTTAGGAGTAGCTTTCATTTTCATTCCACCTTGTGATCCACTGTTTTTTTTCAAGGTTATCGATGTATTTTTCATCTTTGATCTCCCGCTCTTCCTTCCGGATCCTCACAGCATGGTAGCGGGGAACGCTATCGTCGTACCTAGAGCGTTTAAAGAATCCGCACTGACCAAGGGGAGAGAGAAGCAGAAACAAATTAAGTACTGCAAGAAAAGCAAGTGCACAAAATGGGAACGTCTAAGCTTTCTGTTCAGCTCTGCCTACCTTTGGATGAAGGAAAAAAAAAACAACACATGGTTTCTATTAAGAAGGAACTAGTAGGTTGAAAAGACACAACAGCCAGTGGGGATAAACAAAAGAGAAGACAGCTGTGAAACTAGAAAAGTCTGTTTTTCCATCCTATCTTTACATTTTGTAACAATGTAGTAAGCTAGCTCTTTACTAACAATTTCAGTTATGGAACAGTGCTTCCATTTTTTTATAATCACAACACTATATTAAAAAGATCTCATTTTCAGATTATTAATTTTAATTTAAAGAACAGTCTTTTTAAAGGCCACAAACTAAAGATTATTTCATCATGCCTCTCTTCCACTAACAAAATGGAATCAAATCACAAATATTTTGCCAATTATTATTTGAATATGCCAGTGTTCAAACGAGTCAGTTTAAGAATCTTCTGTCCCCTGAGGCTAAGTACACATCTCTCATTAGCTACAAGGCAATTTACACTGCCTGGATTTCCTGTTGTGCTTCCAAATTATTAAGCTGTTTCATTAATAAATCACATAGCAACTATGTCCTATAATAAAATCAATCATGTACTGCAAAGAACTTGAGGAAAGTATCCCACTGAATTTCAGAGCAACCCTCATATTTTCTTTTGCAGAAGACATTTACACTTAAATTATTAATGTATATTTTATTCATTTTTTAAAAATATTCAATCTGATCCAAAGTAGATTTTTATTGAGAACATATCAGGAAATTTTTTAATCAAACTGAGTTTTTTAAATGAATAAAATATATGTTTCATGGAAAATATGTGTTCTTGATTTAAAAATGCAGCTAGGAGGAGGATGAGGAAGATACTTGGAATGAATGGTCAATGTGTATCATTTAACAGGAACAGAACATTTATGTTGAATGAGGTTATAAAAATGGCATGGGGCAAAGTGAAATTAGATTCAGTCATCACTAAATCATTAGAAAAAATGGACCAAGAAGTTTTGTTCTAAGGCCATTTCCACATGGACTCCTTTATTTTGTGCAAAAAAGCCAAAATACTATTACAAAATGTGGCTCTTCATTAAAAAAAAGGAAATCAAGGGTGGTATGTAGGACTGAAGTGGAAAGGCTGGGATTCATCGTGACAGTGCCATGGAAAGGGATTACAGGAGTAGTTCCATCCTCTCGTGCCCACAGAAATCGAAAAAGGAATTACCACCAATTCCTGTTTCCATGGATTTACAAACTAGAGAAGCAAAACACGAACTTAAAAGTCAACTGAGACCCAAAGTTGAGTAAAATCTCTAGGAACATGAAACAAGGTCAAACTCCATTACAACATATTTGAAACCGTAACTGTCCACAGCATTTTTATATTAGAATTTTGTATAATGAAGGTCACTTTGGTAAAGAACCATTTTCTGAAATTGGCCCTCATGTCCACCAGGTCAACAGTCATAGTTTGTTGTAATGGTTTTTGACCTGTAGTAGATATACAGGAAAAGGAAGTTGCATGCTTAGCTAGCATAAACAATTACTGAGCAACAAAAGCATTCCAAGCCTTCCCCCATCACTTTATAGCAAGATCAAAAAGGACAGTGAGAAAGCCTTCCATCAAGAGAAACACAATGTTTCCAACATGCAACAGGTTAATTAGGCAGTCAACACAAGCTTCTATCTGTGGGAAATCCCAAAGTGGACAAGAAATCTGCAATGATTTCTTATTCATCTTTGAAATTCCAAGTGGGATGCTATATACTGGGATTGACAACAGCCTAGCAAACTGGGCTACTAGGGAGGTCTAATGCCTCTTTTTATGTGTACAACGATTCCAATCATCTTCCTTGCTGTGGGTGATGTTTAACAACACAAAAATAACTCACCTGCAACAAAAGATTTTTTGTGCATTTCTTAAAAAACAAAACAAAACTGAGCTTTCAAGTGAAATAAAATAAATCCAAGCAAGGCAAGCCAGTGTGGACATTTGGAAACATCTGTTAATGGGACACACACAGCAAGCTGTTGCTCTTAACGTTAGCCACCACAAGCCTAGCAGGTCCCACAGCTAGCAATTAAAAACATTGATCAATTACCAATTACAGAAGCAGATCAATACTAGGCATCAGAAGTAAGCCTCTCTTTATCAGACGGCTGAGCATGGATCTCAGCCTTGTGATAGGTGGCATCATAATGATCTTTCTTATTTCTCTTGAAGAAACCACACTATAAGGAAGCAAGGTATTTAGTCAGTTTTACAGTTTTGTGTATAAGAGCTAAACAAAAGAAAAATCTTAGATTGTAACCCGTTTTCTAGTTACAGCTTGTTACAGAGAGACCACTTATGAATCAACCAGAACTGAACAGCCACCACGCTATGTCATACTGTGACGGCAACCAAACTAACCTGACTACCATGGGTCTCTGGTCAAATACTTATATGGATGACGTTAATCAGCTAATTGATTTTTCTATCTGTAACCGAAATCCTGAGGACAAAAAAAATCCTAAAAGGAAAATCATATACCCATCTGACTGAAGCTTTGGATGGTTTCTTCATGCAGGAGAATATGAACTCTAAAATAGGCAAAAGATTGACTTCTGCAGTTTTTCTGTGACAAAGAAGTTTGCTAAGATTTAGCACAAATCCAAATAAAATAGATACTGCATTTTTCTATCTTTCACAGTAGGTTTTATATAGCTACCACCATCTAGTTGAGGCCTTTGGATTTGTGGGCAAATATAAATTCGAATACACCATCATGAAAGAATGATTGCTGTAGTTTTCCCAAATTCTGAACCCTTAAGGTAACCCTTAAGTGGTAGGAACCTATGCTCCTCAGGTTAGGTCACTCTAAATCAACAGAGAGGTGTAATTCCACTTTTTACTATAATTTCCTTCATCCAAAGAGGGAGGACTTTTTCTATTTACTTGTTCGTAAGGCTGTGGAACTGCCCTTTGAAATATAGCTTGGTAAAATAAATCTGCCCTCCTGGAAAATTCTGTTTCCTAGTCTGGCAACTCATTAAGGTAAAAATCTAGATCTGTTTTGTACAGTATGGTAACTACTAACTACATGTGGGTATTCAGATTTAAAAATACCTTAGTTGCAACAGCCACATTCCAAATGCTCAGTAGCCACCTGTGTCTCACTGGATAGCGCAGCTTCAGAAAATCTCCATTATCACAAAGTTTTACTGGGCAACACTGATCCAAACCCTTCATCTTGATATCTACCTGTGACTCCCTCCATTTAATACACAGTGAACATACCCAGCCAACTTTCAGTAACACATACTGATAAATAGGGTTAGGTGAAGGAATGAACCAGGAACCAAGAGTCCTGGTCCTGCTTCTAGCTTGGCAACATTCTTAATATCCACAGGCATGAGCATCCTTGTTGGCAAAATGAAGGTGACTGGACCAGCCTGAAGGATTTTTCTCTTTACCTCTAAACAAAACCCTATGCAATATCCTGGTATTTAACGCAAATAACATCAGAACGACTCTCGTTGAAGTGGGGATAATGGCTCTAGCTGCACCATAGCTTAATCTTGGTACCTATGTGGATAGGCAAAACCCAATTTTAAAGGCCACTGAACTCCAGTCCTTTCTGGCCCTTAAGTTCTATGATTTTAATACATGAAACAAATAGTCCATTTTCAGAAAGAATATCAAAGTAATAAAAATGGTCTTCATGTAGGGGTTATAGAGGTTGTCTGATTACTTTAGAGTTCACTTACGAGTTCTGGATACTTTAGAGCTACAAACAACCCCTGAGATCATAGTCCAAGCCACTTAACTAAAGAGCTAAAGTAAACCAGTGCCTCAGGGAGATGAAATGATTTGCCTAAAATTATAGAGCTTGGGTTTCTTAACCCACTGCTATGACTCACCCTCATTAGAGATTCCAGTAAGACCTGCTCTGAAAAAGACTGTCCTTGTGACCTCCTCCAGAAAGCACATACAAAGCCCATCCTCAAATATCAAACTTCAGATTGAGTTTTTGATACCAAAATAATTTACCAAGCATCTCCTATGGCTGGCTGTGCTGACCAGAGAAACCTACTGCCTGAAGTGAACCTCAGAGGTAGGACTGGCTAATATCCAATGTAGGGAGGAGTCTTGGCATGAGCAGTCACCAAGCTCCAAATCACACATTTGGAGGACACCAGAAAATTATCTCAAACTGGCAAAAGGAAGTTACTTGGAAAAATAACACAAAAAAGAAATGTCCAATATTTGAAAGTGACAATATCCTGAATCCTTGTCAATTATACTCTTGGATCCAAGGGAAAGGATAAAGATGGTTTGATCCTAGAGACTGTTGGTAGAGGTTCATAAGCATTTAATCCAAAATCCACTGGACCAGACAGGTTTGGAAATCTAGAATTTTGGCATTTTAGAAAAGTAGTATGTTGCATACATAATGCCACTCTAATCAAAACATTATTAGTTTCACAGCAGAACCATTAAATAAAGGATAAAGAATATAAATAGCTTCTCTTCACATGTTGTCAAGTTTTGCTGCCAAATAAGTCATTATGAACTTTCAGCTTTCAGAGTATCTTGCAATTTGTAATTGTCGATAAGGGACTGTGAACCTCCATTGGTCACTGAGAATAATCCAGACTCTACAGGTCATAATCTTTGGCAACAAAAGTATGTATCCATCTCATTACACACATTTTTATAATGTAGACTGTTTACTGGCAGAAATCAAGGAGAAGATACTAATTTTATTTGCAGGACCAAATTCTAATGAAGAACATCATATTAAACCCAGATCTTCCTCATGTTTGATAGAGGCAATGAGGATCCCTTGCAATGCAGTTATTAATTTCATGCTTTTCTATTCCTAATCTAGCTGCAACTGTCACAAGCCCCAGTGGCTACCACGAACATTTCTTTATAGAAGTTGAAATTAACAGGGATACAGGTTCAGATTAATGTGATATCCAACAATTTGGCTTAGATTCAGAATTTTAGATGAAGAAATTGCTAAAGTATTAACATTTTTTAAGTTATTTGCCAAACATGCTAAATTATGTGAAAAGCACCTAAATTTATTTAAGAAACGCCTTATAATATACAACTAATATACTTTTAAATATCAGGTACTAGGTAGATATACAGTTGTTCATTGTAAAATTCTCAAGTTTGCTCTATTGGCAAAGTTTCATAATAAAATGCTGGGAAAAGGGAAGCATTCCAAAGGAATGTACAGACTATCACTGTAAATTCACTCTTTTAAAAAACATGAAATAAAGTTTAGGTCATTAGAACTCAAATGCCAAATAGGACTTACCTTCCATAGTAAAAACACTAAGAGAGCAAGCATCAAAATCCCAGCGAGTATAGCCACTAAGATGATCCACCAAGGTACTCCTGAATACTGAGCTATGGTCTTTGAGGGAAACACAGTCACACGAATCTATGGGGCATAAAAGAAAGCACCATTGTAAGGGGGCGTGAGAATACCAGGAGTTTACAGTTCTAATTCTGCTTCCAGACGCATTTTGAACAATGCAGCCTATGGATGAATGAGATGCCTTTTTGATGTGAGATCTTTTCCCAGAACCTGGAAAATGCTGGACTGCGTTTTGACAAAGTTATTTTTTGGATAACTCATCTTTTAAAAACTTTTGTATTGAATCAAAGTAGAGGAAATTGTATAATAAAGCATCCTTTTTTTCATCACCAAGTTTCAACAATCATCAATGCACATCTTGTTTCATCCATATAACCAGGTATCTTGTTGAGAACGATCACCTTCCCTTTTCGTTTTTAGTAATGGAAATAAAAGGGCCATTTTATGTACAATTAGCCTATATTCCTTACTTGGATTTAAAGATGTTGTGAAATATAAAAATAAGGATGGAGTTGCATTGCTGATACTGTTTTAACTTTTCCTTAGGATGTCAAGACCCTCATGCACAACAGAATTTCCTGAAATGGCCTGGAGCGTGTTCTTCGACAGTGTATTTGGACCAAGTAGACCCCTTCAGAGGTGGCTTCGAGCTGTAAGCAGCAGCTGATGAGAAGCCTAAGCTCTAGACATTTGATAGTTGGGAAATACCAATTAAACAGAAGTAGTGTTTATTCAGAAATCTAAAAAGTTGCTTCTGGCAGTTTGCAACAACTTGGTTCTGTGCGTTTAGGACTCTCAAGTGGATTTCCGTGATGCCAGGAGACCATTTTTCACAGCTTGTAAAAGACTTCGTGATTGCTAGGAGTATGATTTCGTAAACAGATTAGAGAGCTTCCAGTTTGAAGTTTTTGATATTTCTGACTTAAGAAAATGTAAAATGAAGGGTAAACAAAAAGTACGAGTCTTTAAGTTCTGAGAAGTGTTTTCAGTCAAGTACTATTAGTATTGAACCCCGGATGCTGCCTAAAAATGCTTCCATGTCTGTCTACATTGTGCTTCGATTAAAAAAAAAAAAGTTTTCACTAAAATACTTCCCTTTCTACTTATACTAGAAAACAGCTTCTCAACCTCATCTGACTTCAGAATATACTTTAAAGCAAGAGAACTGCGTTTCTTGGAACATTTAAGAGCAAAGAAGTCAGTTTTCAGCCTGCTATACCGACTCTAACCCCTTTATCAGCTACTATGTTTCCTGTTATGCTCTCAGTGAGGTTTCACTCAAACTGTCAGCCAGCCCCACCCCGGGGGGGGTTGCCCCATGGCTCACTTCCCCTTGCCTCTCCCCCCCCAACAGTCACCCCAGCTTTTTTTTTTTTTTTTAAGATTTTTATTTATTTATTCATGAGAGACAGAGAGAGAGAGAGGCAGAGGGAGAAGCAGGCTCCCAAGGAGCAGAGAGCCCGATGTGGGACTCGATCCCAGGACCCTGGGATCATGACCTGAGCCGAAGGCAGACGCTTAACCATCTGAGCCACCCAGGCGCCCATCACGCCAGCTTTAAGCTAGAAAAACGCTTTCTTGAGGTTACTGGGTCTAGCACAGGGGCATCCAGCTAGTGGGAAGAATGGTGAAAGACCAGGGATAAAATAATGCACTTGATGTGACCAGTAAGCTTGCCTACTCTGAGCCAAAACAAAACAACTAATGAGCCTGATCTGTATCACTTAACTTTGCTTCCCTATCTTGCAGAGGGAAGCATACAGTACGTCCTTGGGGGTAAGGTGACAACCTGGAAGGGCCATCCTTTTTTTTTTTTTTTAAAGATTTTATTTATTTGACAGAGAGAGACACAGAAAGAGAGGGAACACAAGCAGAGGGAGTGGGAGAGGGAGAAGCCGGCTTCCCGCTGAGCAGGGAGCCCGACGCGGGGCTCGATCTCAGGACCCTGGGATCATGACCTGAGCCACTCAAGCGCCCGGGCCATCCTCATTTTTAAGAATAAGCTCTGATAAACCTGGAAGTGGAGAGTGGTCCATGGCAGGGGAATCAACCTTATAATCAGACTGTGTACCAGAGCCTTTTAAATGGCTGATAATAGAGGAAACCACTCCTATAAATGGCAGTAATCCAACAGAATGAGAGCTGAACAGGTAACTTTCTGATTTCGTGGTGGGGGGGGCGGTGTATGTAGAAATCCAGCTGCAAGATCTAGCCCCAAGTCTGGCTACCATTCAAACCAGATTTGGGAGCCTTTTAGAAACCATAGAATAACTCACTAGGCATCAAAGAGGACAGTGACAGGTTGAGGTGAGTAGAAATTACTCAAACTCCAAAAAGAATTTTTTGGGGTGGGGGGAGTTCTTTAAAATCTAGGCATTTCCATAGGGATGACCTATGCACATGCACTTCATCCATCATGTGCCCATGAAGGGGAAATGGGGCTGAAGCTCTGCTACACAGTCAGTTCCATCATGAGCGAGCAGTGCTTAGACCTCATTCACTTGCTCACTGCCAAAATCGTTTGCCTGAATCACTCTGTAACGTCATACCCTCTATTCTTACTGAACATCAGTAAGAGAAATCACTCCATGAAGGTATTTTCATAGCTTTCAGAAAGCTCTCTATTAAAGACCTCATTCCCTTAGTGAGCGTTCTTCGTATCAGAAACACATCTTGTAAAAGGATCCGTATCTCAAATTCTCCGAATTTAGAGCCGAAAGAAGAAAATCACATTGCCCTGAAGAATGATGTGCCTTTTACGTACCATATTTTCTTTTATCTCTGGCAGCCAGAAAGCAGATACTCTTTTCCAACTTCCTTAGGAATGAAGTGGGGGATATAGAAATAGAACCAATAACAATCCCTTCCTCGGCTCAATTCAACAATTATCTCCTGGTTCACACGGACCATGAAATTCTTAACAGTTCACGTGGCGTATCTTATCTAACTTTGGCTTCTCTAGCATTTGTGCAGGGAAGGCAGACAGTGTGTCCTTAATGAGTGCTTGTAAACTGGATGGATTTCATGGATGCTAAAATGTAACCATTTTATCTGGTTCAGTTAGGTGACCAGCTCTCTCAGACTTTGTTCTAACAGGTGTTGAAAGTGTTGTATCGAGAAGTGAACACAAAACTCTTAAAATTGGTTGGGTTATAAGGAAACTAAAAGGGTTTTTTCCTTCCTTTTTAAAGCCAGGATTAGAATAAAAGCAAGCAGTTTTAATATGAAGATCAAAAGATAAGACTGAATTACCCCACCTCCTCTGCTTCTATCTTCAAAGAAAAATGATCTTCGGGCTGGAAAATGCAACAGATGAACCAAGATAAAGATAAAACTGAAACCCACAATAAGTGAGGGAATAAAAAAGGAAAGCATCCTAACACATGAATTAAACTTAAATCTTTAGACCCAGAAAAAGTACACTCTAAAATACTAAAGAAACCTGTATATAGGACATCGGAGCTGTTGTCACTCAGAAATCAGAGTCAACAGAAGAGGTACCAGAAGACTAGAGGCAAGAAAACATTTGTTTTCAAGACAAAAGCACTCTAGATACAAGACATTAATCCATTCATGTATCCACCAATTATTAAACCAAGGAGGATCACAGCAGAGATCCCAATTCCCATTAGCATGCCTGAGTTCTCCAAGCCCTTACATGTAATGCCCAAGATAAGCTCACTTTCATTTGTGACCCAGCCGCTAGACTGGATACCAACACCCCAGTTCCATCATCTTCCAGCCAACAAGAGCACTTGATGAGGGCTTGTGAGTCCAACGTCTGGTCTCCCCTCCACATGCCCGCCAGTCCTATGACCCTGAGAGAGAGACAACCTTTCTTGGGTTGTTTTCTCATCTGAATTTGAGATCTGGGGACTTAATGGGAAGCAAGTGTTAGAGAGTTAAGAATAGGAGCCCTGAAACCAGACCAGTTTACAGGTTTCAATTCAGGACCCCACTGGCATCCCCTGCTGTGCCTCCTTACTTTTTTGGAAAATGAGTACATCTACCTTGTCATTCTGAGGTTCAGAGGACTACAGATAATTAATGCATTATTAATGTCTGTCCCTTCCCTCTAAATCGTGTGTTCTTTCCCCAGCTCTAAAAGCTCAGTGATTCTCCAGGTTACTGGTTGCAAGTTTCAGAAAGCTATGGCTGCCGCCTCCAGTCAGAGGGGCAGAAAAGGGCTTCTCAGGGAGGTTCTGTTCAGTTGATAGTCTCTTATGATGCCTTATTGGTAAGAGGCAGGAAGGTGAGCTGGAGTAGCATGCAGAGATGATCTAAGGCCAGGGTGACCGGATGTCCTGGTGAGCCTGGGACAGTCCTGATTTATAACCCTTGTCCCAGCATCCTGCCCAGTTTAGCATCTGCCCCAGACAAACATCTCTGGGTTTGGCTGATAGATTTTAACAGCCAGGGATCACTGTATTCAGAAACCAGTGCTCAGGGAGGCTCACTGCATTTTCAGCTGGCTCAAAGGTCCGAAGCCAGAACTTCCACTGGCACATCAGTAGATCAGCTGAAGAACGGTACGTCAGTCTTTTTCTCCATTCGGTCTCTTTTGCAAAACACTCCGGTCCATGACATGCAGGCACTGTATCTCAAGAGCATGACACAAGCCCCTGTGGGCTCCAGACCCCCACAAGGAACCCTTCCCAGTGTGCCCCCACAGCCACAGCCCCCAGTTCTGTTCAGTACTTTTCTCAGTTGCCTGGATGAGGACAGAGAAGCTGTGCTGCTCAGCTTTGAAAAAGGTAAAGGGATAGAAAGCTAAGAGGGCAAATGATCAAGAGTCAAAACTACTTTGTGAACTGAAACGACAGACCATAAGCCAACCACCTAAAACAGGAGATATTTAAAGGCATGCATTTAGATTTTTAAAAATTGCTCAAGGATGGGATATGGGAGCTATAGCTTGACAACACATCCTGCTGAAAACACTTGGAAGTTTCAGCAGAACAGAAACACAAAAACAGAAGCTGCTGGAAGTACAAACACAATCTTCTGTGTACACCGAAAAACCAAGTTTTAGGCTGACTGATGGCAGCGTGGGGCCGCGGTGTTGGGAGGTAAAGGCCTCATGGTGAGCCGAGCGAGGCAGATCACACATCCGCGCCCTGCCCGCCCAGGAGTCACACTGCCGGACCAGGGCCAGCCCAGGAAGGAGAGGGCCTGGCCTGACGGGTGGCTGAAGAGCTGGAGGCTCTGCTCTGAACAGAATGAGAGACCTGTCCAAGGGGCATGCCCGTGTCCTTCAGTTACTCCAAAGGTTGCTACGTGGCTAAGAGAAGGGACTTATTTTGGGCTTGTTCCAAGGGGCATAACCAGGGACCGATTTTGTAAGATTCAACTCTGGATTCACATATATAAAGAGATCGTTTCTAATAACCACAGCTGGCCACACATGCCGTGAGCTACTCCATAAAGTGGTCGTTACCATCATGGGGACACCGGCAGTGGCTACAGCACTGGGGATAGTTTATGACCTGGGGTTTCTATAGAGGTGGGAGGCGCACCCATTCTTTCTCAAATCTACCGTGTGCACTGCAGAACTAGACGATCCTAGATGTTCTCCCTTTTCCAGTGATTCTGTTAAAATACAGCTTGGAGTGGAAGCCCCTTAGAGCATCATCGGACTTCTCCTTAATGGGGGTAACAGGGTTGTGAGGGGGAGGACTGCCAAGGTAGCATGGCCTCAGGCTGCGGGGGTGTGGTGGAGAAGGAGTGATCGGCTCTGAACTCTGGGAAGGCGGAACAACCTCTCACCTGAGTGCCTGCGTTTGGCAGCTTGATGTTCTCGGCTGCGGCGGCTACATCAATGGAAGCCCGCGTGAGAATGTCCAAGTAGTTCATTTTGGAATATTCCTGTTTGGAGACAAAGTTAGCAAATGCGTTTAGGAAGTGAGAAAGGTCCTAAGAGATAGCGAACTGACTTCCAGGGGACAGCCTCGAGGCAGAGCCGAACCTCTAGAAACGTGCTGTTCCATAACCTCGAGCGCAGAACGACAGAGGCCTTGCTGTCCAGCCCTCGCAGCGGGCAGCTTATGTTCACGCAGTTCACGTTCATGCTGCAGTTCTGGGGAGAAAAGGGTGGTAGTTAAAATCCAACAGTAAGGGGCATCCTGCCACCGTCTGCCCAATAGTCACGGCTGTTGAAAAATACTTACAAGAGTCTGATATTTTCTTTCAGCAAATAAAGAAAATTTTCCGCTCTCATCTATCTGTTTTTCAGCAATTTCCCGTTTCCTTCTTGAGCTGTGAGACTCCTGAAAAGAAATTATATCCAAAATAGTTCTACTTAATGTAAAGGTCACGACTGCATAGACCTCAGCACTCCCTTACAAATGATGCCAAATTCACATAATCAACAATTAATATTTTCCCATCTCCTGTCACCAAAGGCACAGAAACAATTTAAGTGTAAAATCCACAGATGTTCCCATCTCATTGCAAGTTTATTGATTCAGGTAGTTTATTCCCACTCTGACTTTAAAACTCAGGTGAAGAGAAAGCGGGCTTTCTTTGTTCTTCTGTCTCCTCCCCAAACTGAGCATCCGGAGATCAGGCATCACATCCCATCCCTATATCCCTAGCACCCAGCTCAGTAACTAACGCGTGGTAAAAAGTCAGCACATCTTGAATAAATAAATGACACTGACGAACGGAAAAAAGCAAAAGAATGAGTATGTGACTTATTCAAAGTAGAGTCCTGAAAACTAACCCACGTAAGTAGTTTTAAGATAGCATTTTCCTTAAGATAGGATTAAGAGTGTGGGCGTCTGGGTGGCTCCCTCGTTAAGAGTCTGCCTTCAGCTCAGGTCATGGTCCCAGGGTCCTGGGATCGAGCCCGCATGGGGCTCTCTGCTCAGCGGGGCATCTGCTTCCCCCTCTCCCTCCGTGTGCTTGCTCGCTCTCTCAAATAAATAAATCTTTTTAAAAAATAAATAAGAATGAAAGCTTTGAAGGTCTCTTGCTCAAGTGCCAGTATCTTTTGTAATGAGTTTGGTTATATTGGGAGTGAACACTGGCCCACCCCAGAAGCACATCCCAGTCCTCTTTATAGGTCATACTGGGTCCTAACACTCCAGAAAACGTCATTTCCTTCAACAAGCACTGAATCACCCTGACTGATGTGCCATAATGGTAGCCAATCAGCAGAAATCCTCAGCCTGACTTGGTTACTCAACTATAAGAGAAAATGTGACACCAAAGAAGTCAGCACACCACCATGTCACTTTCCTCAGGAAAGTACGGATTTTCCCCACAAAAGTCTGCTTCCCTTATTCACACTATGAAGACAGAGGGTAAATCAACATACCTTTAGGTTCAGGAAGTTTATTTCACTTCGTGGCTCACAAGCTATGTTTTCCAATCCTTTGGATTCTACTTTCACCAAATAAAGCAACCATTTGCCGTTGCTAATTTCTTTTGGCCACTGGATATTCAAGGTTGCTGTGCCAAGGTTTTTAAGAGGTTTACCCAAGTTAATTACCTGTTAGGAAATAATACGTATTATATCTCAGTGTAATTCTCTCAATAGAAAATTAAGTAGCAGCTCCTGTGGCCAAGGGGGGGAGAAAAAAGGAAATATCTGGCATAATCCTCCAATGAAAGTATAGGCTCCAAAAACAGACTACAGATAGATAGGGCCTCCACAATAGAGATGCATGCCTAGGCAAGGTAAAAGAAACGATTGCTCCTTTAACCCAGGAACTACTGCGTGCAAGAGAATCTGCAGCGTAGATAGGCCATGCTCTCAACGTGCTCTGGGAGGGTCACGGGGGTCTGTGAGTCTCTGGGATCGGCCTGCCCGGCAGAGGAGCCTGGGCCACGGCGGCGCACCAGCAGCCTGCTCCGGGGAAGCCCCACCTTATGCCGAAGTCAAGCTGCCCCTGTCTCCTACTACAAGGGGGCGCTTGGGGAGCACCTGAGAGCCTGAGTGAAACCGTTCATGACGGCCGTGAATCAGGAGTCCGAGCCGGGAACACAGCAACTTCCTGCAGCGGAAGCCAAATGAGGAGTGAGCTGTGTGTGTGCGAGGCAGGACTGCCGTGGGCCCCAGAGACACCTCCTCGCTGCTGCCGCCGCTGCTCCCTGTCACAGCTGTGTCTGCAATGCTGAGACACACAGAGCGGAACTCAGCCCCTCACCCCGCTGGAGTCAGGGGTGGGCCCTTCTTGCCATCTCAGACTTTCGCCTCCACTGTGGCCACTGTGCTGTCTCGGCATGCTTGAGCCACGCAGACCCAAACCCACAGATGAGTTTTGAGCCACTTCTGCACCACGTGCTTATGTTCACCCAACTGGGCTGAGAGTCACTGGGATTCTTGCTTAGAAATGCTTCAGAACAAGCATGAGTGTCCTCACGGGCGCCGGGCTTGTAAAACGTGAGGGAACACGAACCACACGCGCTAAGAGACAGGACCTCACGATGGAAGAAGAAAATCCTAACACGTTCTAAAGCCAGGTATCAATTACTTTGAGATTTGTGTCACGGACAGACTCGGGGCGGGGGGATTCCTCTGTCTCTGCACCACTTATACATGAAAACGCTCTAATAAGAAAATGACCAAACTGAACTGGATTTTGAACAAAGTCCATGTTGAATGACAGTTGTGTTCTCCGTTCTGGAGGACAAAATTTTTATGGCAAGCCAGTATGTGCTTTAAACATTGGTGAACTCACTTTTAACTGAGGATTTATCATGCTTATTAATATTTATTAATGTTGATATTACATATTACAGTTACATATTCACATTTACTAAAATTATATTACATATATTATCAGATATAGTATATGTTCACTTTTGGTATATATAAAAGACCAAGCGCTGCAACTTACCCTGAACTCATACTCTATTAAACTTCCCACCTCATCTTCAGATTTCATAGCTTGCTCACCAACAACTGTACCTCCAAAATACACCTGGGAAGGTTTAGCAACTCTGTTAAATTAAAAAACACCAGTTTTAGCGAGGATTGTAAATGGTTCTTTTAAACACTGATTTGTTATGCTAAACACAAACACTTACCCAGAGACCGATAAAAGCAGTTCAATAACCACTTTCGCTGTAGCTGTAATTGAAGCCAAATTATCTTGATTGCTTGTTCTGAAAATGAAAAGGAAACAATAGGGTTTCATTTTAACAGTCAGTTTTCTCATTACAGTTACACTTCTTTTATGAGTCAGAGCAGAGCCAATTCATTGACTGGCTGTGTTTTCATGAAATAATTCTGAATGGAAAGGTTGAAGTAATTCTTACGTTTCCAACTTCATATTAATATCCAGATCTGTGGTGTCAAAGGTGACCTCAGTTGTACTTAAAATCAAATAAAAAGTCACCTGCAGAACAGAAACAGACGTTAACACAGAGCAAGCATGCCGACCCCGTCTGACGGCATGAATCAGCACGACGCAGTATGCGAAAGCATCACCTACACTGGAATTTCTTTTGAAAGGATTTCCAAGCTCACAGTCCGCTTGCGAGCCGTTCTGATTGGCAACACAACTCAGCTGCTTCTCCTGTAACAGAAAAACACGAGATCACCAGCCACTCACGGGCCCCCGAGGCCGGCCGTCTGCCCCCCCGCTGCCGTGAGACCGCTTACGGGGAAGGCCCGCAGTTCTCGGTACGCCGAGTAAGTGAGAGTGTCGGGAAAAGCTGCCACGAGCTTGGCCTCGTGAGCATCATCTCCGTCTTTCGCGGGCGCCCTTGGATCGGAAGGGCCGTTGGTCACTGTTATTTCTAAAGCAATGTCCTTCTGGTCTTTCAGAACTAGTTCTGGTACACCTTTCCGACTGTAGCACACATACACACACACACAAAAACACAACAAAAACGACAAAGAGCTCAGTACGTTTTCAGTAACCCACTGCAAAGCCAGTCATTTTTGCTTGGAAGACAGAGTGAGTCTTACACTGGTAAGTAAGAAAACTTGTCTTGATTTCCTTCTCGGGTACAAAATTTATATTCTAGTTTAAGGTTGCTGTTACATACATTGTCGTCTCCACATCCCTCTTTTAAGAAGTGCACCTGGAGGAAAACAAAACCATTGTTGATTTGGGTTTTTTAAATTTTTATTGTTTTAATTTAAAGTCAATTAACACATAATGTATTATTGGTTTCAGCGGCAGAGGTCAGTGATTCATCAGTCTTCTGTAGCACCCAGTGCTCATCACATCTCATGCCCTCCTTAAGGTCCATCACCCAATCACCCCATCCCCCCACCCCCTCCCCCTCCAGCAGCCCTGTTTGCTTCCTAAGATTAAGTCCCTGAGGGTTGTCTCCCTCTCTGGTAAAAACAAAACCACCGCAACAGTGACAGCCTTTCCCTGTGCAACAGCTACCAGAGCAGAAGCTTCAAACGTACTCTGCCCTGCATCCAGTGCCTTTAAGGGACCCGTCTTGAACAGAGCTGTGTTGTAAGCACACCCCGACCAGGCCACTGAGGTGCAGTCAAGAGCATGAGCCCTGCAGCCGCACAGGTCCACCTTCCAAACCTGGCTCTGCCACACACTTAGCCTTGGGGCTTTGGGCAAGTCACTTCACCTTTCAGAGTCCAAGTGTCACCACTGGTGATATGGGGATGCCATAGAGGGATACTGTAAGTACCAATAATAGTGATGATGCTCTGTCAGGGGGCCATCAGAACCAAGAGCCACAGAGTGGACGCTCCGGCACCAACTGGATTTTGACAGCAGGTGCACCAATGCCAGATCAGGATGCCACAGGTCCCCAGCCTATTCTCGTGTCTCAGCCACCCTAAACCCTAGCAAATAGGCCCCACCTCATAGGAGGCATAGAGCAAGCCATACAATAGCAGTTGTCTTCCTAAGATCACATGCGCTACATTAGCCACTAAATGACTATTTCATGGCTAAGGAGCTTTGTATTCCTTGATTTAACGTTCAGACTAACAAGTTTATTTTCTACATTTTAATGTCCTCAGTGGTAAAATGCAGTGTATTTTTCTTTCTAGCAAACGGCCATAGGAGAAACTTGATGTGAGAATGAGTTCTGCCAATTATACTCTCAGTAAGTCTCAGTAAGGCCAAAAATTATTAAGAACAATACTCTCCGGCTCCAGATTGTATTCCATGTATTTCTATATTTGTTGTCACTTTGGGAAACAAATCTCAAACAAACTCGGCATATATTAAAAAGTCTATTTATAATACAAAGGAATGGACTTTAAAAAAGCAAATCACTAGTCCTCCTGCCTTCAGACACATGTGATGTAGCATAATAATGTGGCAGAAGCTTTGGCAATACAAAAGTCAGGAAGACTTACATCTCTCTGAACTGTCTTGGGTTCGTTTGAATTCAGAATGGGAAGAATCTCTGGAAGTGAGTTCACTCTCCTCCGCGTGTTTGGCTCTTGGATCTCTACGGAAGCAGTTACGGGAATGGGACGCAGTTTATCTCGGATATTTTCCTGAAAAGTATGCAGAGTGAAGCATGGTATCAACGCTACTGGGGAGCTCCAAACAATGCTTTCTTTTGTCCTGAATAAGAGGCTGCTGGTGTAAGGTTCAGAGATCCAGCTATGCCACCATAAAACCCAGCTGCTGTCCCTTCTAACGACCAACCTGACTGGTGGCGGGCCTCACCTGGAGCCAGAGGGTCTCCTCTATGCACTCCTTCTGCTTCTGCCTGGTCAGACTTAGCTCTTGCGTATACTTGGGCTCAGAGCCTTGGTTTCGAAAGAGAACTCTTGATGACAGCCCAGATTTCCTTCTCTCCTTTTCAGCCTCGAGTGTGCCCAAAATGGCTAGATAAAATAAACAAAATCCTATGAACTTCAAGTATATCCATGCACAGTTCAGCTGTAAGGACAGTGAGTTGCCTTTTATGTCATTCTGATTCCTTGTAGATTACTTTTCCCACTGCCCTTGTTACTGTTCACATTTCCTGGGAATGTACATTTTGACTGATTTATGGCGTTTCAGGTCAAGCTGTCCTTTCCTGCCCGCTGCTAAGAGTTTGTGAAGTTAAATTTCCACTGGGCCACCTGGGGGAGCTCGAGAATCAGTTAGAAGCTCTGAGCAGCTGATCCAAGGATTTCTGGCTAAACTTCAGGAACTCCGAGCACTAAAGACAACGGGGGACCCAGCACTCCTGAAAGGCCTGCACTGACTCCCATTCAGCAGTCTGTTGCTTATGTGTGGCCCCATTCAGCAGCAGCTTCTCCTCAGGTCCGTTGGGCATTCAGAACCTCAAGCCCCAGCCAGACCTACTTAACCAGAATCTGCATTTGAACAGAACCGTCAGGTGGTTCTTAGACACATTAAAGTTTAAGAAGCACTGATAAAGGATAGTTGTCTAAAATGGGAATAATACATATTAGAGATAGAGAAGTCTTTGGACAACAGGAGGAGACTTTATTTGAGAGAAATGAAAGGTAAAACACATTCCTTTGAGAGTCTAGAGGGCCCATTTGCCAGCTACTGTATCTCCCACACCAAAGTTTCCAACCTCCAAAGGCCTAGAAGGCACATCCTGTTCTCGATTACCTCTACTAATGGTGCTCAGCAGAGGCAAGCCAGGATTTGGATGATCAAAATCTCATTTCTCCACTTCAGAATGCATTCTTTGCTGGTTTGCTGGATGTAGTTACTATGTTTCTTTATGGGATCATATTTAAATTACTCACATTCATTCATTCATCACTAACCATCATAAGGGGAAGCAAACCAAAGTGTGTATAGGGCCAGAGAAGGCAGCCTTAAGGAAAAAAATCTCCGGAAAACGCAGAAAATGAATCACCCATGTTCTAATATGCATGTTGGAGTTCCGAAGAGGCCTCAAAGATCTACTTTAGTAGATCTACTTTAATATCTGCTTTAATACCCCCCTCTTGAAGAAATGGAGGCCCACAGGTAGGTGACTGGCCCAGGATCATACAGTGAGGGGCAGAGGCGGCGCCAGCTTCGAAGTCTCTGTCACAAATACACAAGACAACTGCTTTATAAAGCCTCTTAGATGTCCAGGTTTCCACTTCCTCCAGGCCTCTGCATGAGTCGCTCTCTTCCTCTGCCAGCTGGACCCTGGCCCTCTCCACCTCCCCCTGACTGCCTAACTTTGCTCCTCCTTCGGATCTCAGTGTGGACATCACTTCCTCTGGGGGGACGTTCCTGACCTCTCCTGGGGGATCGGACGGTATTCCGTTTCCCCACTCACTACCCTTGGCCGCTTTGCTGTGACTGCCCCACCGCAAAGGCGTGGACGGGGACCACATCAGTCTGCTCGCCACTGTGTTCCCCAGCAACGGGACAACACCTGATGTAAGTATGATTTTAGAACAGCTGAACGGAAGTGGGAGTGACCGGCACCACATCAACACACACACCAGTGCACACAGAGACACGCACACAAACAATAGCATGTTATTCTTATGCCGAAACAATAGCTACTGAGATACGCAAAGACCAAAATTTAGAGACACTGACAGTTTCAATAGTAATTTGTGCCAAATGGAATGTGCCTCCGTTTTAGCCTTGTAGCCTTGACATCATCCATTTATCAATGACCTGTTAACTTCACAACGAACCAGACGAAGGCTCACATGCTGAGTGCCCCTCACGGCAAAAGCAGGGGGAGGGTGTGGGTGCATTAAAACCGTTTATCTACCAAGCCCACTCTAACCTTCCCTAACCCTCCAGACAGTTCACATCATCTTAAAATCCTTGCAGGCCACCTTTGCTGACCTTTTGAGGGGCAAGCCAAGTAGAATACTCATTAAGGCTCAATTATAAATATCTGCATGTATGGAACACCACATCTGAGGACCACCGAGTTAAAACAGCCTGATCAAACAATAGGCTCACATTCTCAGACACTGGGAACGGATTTTAGATGGATTCACTTATGCAGCTTGGTGGAAGTTCTATTTGAAATTGGAATTTCCCAGTACTGTGGAACTGGGAACTACAGGCAAGGAAAAACAGGGTCCCTCTGAACGTCTTCCCAGAAAAAAGTTCTATCCACGATAGGCCATCAGTAAACACTCAGCTAACAGAGTCGTAAACAAACACTTCATTAATGGCACAGTTACTGAACGTGAAATCAATACATAGGGCATCAAATGCTGCATTAAAGCTAGAACAAAGTTTGTGATTTTATGAAAATGACTGACGTGAGGGAAGACAAGGACAGCTCTGATGAGACGTCACATCTACGGTCAGAGTGGTGTGGGACAATGACATCCATAGAATAAAAATGTTTCCCCATTTCCTCTCCTCATCTGATCACAGAATCACAATTTCTCCTTGTCTCTCTAGTCTACTCCAAACACAATGGTGAAACGCCTGTTACCCAAACAGGCAAGTGTAAGGTATCGCGTTTGGGTAGACATAACACAAACAATACTAAGTGTGTGAGAAATCCTAGAAGACGTTTTCTTCTCCGTGAAAGCCGTGCCAGGAATCGTTTCCCATACTCAGTGAAAGACCAGCCACGTCAAAGGGCGAAGTGAAAGGCCACCACCGCCCTGTGCACAAACCGTGACACGGCAGCATTAAGCACGCGTCCCAGCAAGGTCGGGAGAGCCCTGGGAGGGAGGCTACGGCAGGAGACAGCCCGGCAGAGGGGCCAAAAAAGCCGAGGGAGGCAAAGGAACTGCCTGAGGATGGCTTAAAATACGGAAGGGAAAAGTGGGCCTATGACAAGGTGAACTGCGGCAAGACAGACCTATTTGCCAAATTCTGGGATATTAAAAGGGTATCTTTTCAATAAAGAAAACAGTAATACTTTACGTAACCAGAAGGAAACTTAAGAAAACTCATTACCTCAAGGTAAAGCAAAAACTGCAAACCACCCTATCCCTCAAGAAGGCTTCCCGTGGTGGCAAGCTACGCCGTCATACGGGGCCGCCGGGACCGTCGCCCGACCCAGGATGGAGATCACCCTCACTCTTTGTACTTGCGCTTTGGGGAAAAGCTTTTCTTTAAATTCCCACGTCCCGGGGCGCCTGGGTGGCTCAGTCGTTAAGCGTCTGCCTTCGGCTCGGGTCATGATCCCAGGGTCCTGGGATCGAGCCCCGCATGGGGCTCCCTGCTCGGTGGGAGGCCTGCTTCTCCCTCTCCCTCTGCCTGCCGCTCTGCCTACTTGTGCTCTCTGTCAAATAAATAAATAAAATCTTAAAACAAATTCCCATGTCCCCATCTTCAGCCTGGAGCGGGACCAGGGGGCTTACACCTGAAAACATACGGCTGTTACTAACACCTACCACAGAAGGCTCTGGTGATGATCACCACTGTTAGAGTGTCATTAGCCTTGTCTAAACCTGCAGCAAAACAGTCTGTCTGGGTTATAAAGAAAGGAGGCCGCATAACACCTTATAAATGATAGATGGCCTTAGCCACAGTAGCTCCTTTGCTCTCCACCACAATCCTATGTAGAAATTCCTATTAGAGCCATTTTATTACTGATAGGGAAATGAAAACTCCAATGTTGAGACTTGCGCTGTGCTGCGGGGTGAGCCAGCCTCGGAGCTGCAACCCAGAGCGGAGCCCAGGGCTCTGCGTCCTCAAGACCAGCCTGCCAGTCCCCCAGGAGCCTGCTTGCAGGGGCACGGCGTGGGTGTTCTGGGCCGGGGAGGCCTCTGGGAGGGGGCCACGCAGTGAGGAGACACTAAGCCAGCAACTCTGCGCAATGCTCAGGTTCCGGTACTCACTCTCCAAAACCACCGCCCACCACCTCCTAACCGCAAAACCAGTTTTCCACGTTGCTCTTCAAAGGCAGAAATGGAGGAAACGGTTGTGGTAGCAAATGAGTACTTTTCCAAGGCCTGCTGTCCTAAACCATCTGCTCTGGAAAATTCAGATGAGGACCAAATGGAGAGTTATCCCCTCCTGTGCTTCGCCCTCCTGATTAAAGAGAAGACAACAGATGCACTGAATTCCTTATGCAAGAATTTATGAACCCAGGTTGGCCACTGCAGTTTTATTTTTCTGTTACTTATGCATTACTTTCAACCTGGCAGACAGAACATATATAATTTTTAAAGGTACTGCGTACTTACTTATCGAAGGATTGTAACCTGTGGGTTTGGCAGTGTATTCAAAACAGGCCTTCACCTTGAGGCTGTACAAAATCAAACACATATTCCTTAAAAGATGCACTGCTGTAGTAGGAAAAAAAAAAAAAAACCACTCCATGGTCCCCAGGTCTAAAATCCCCCCACTGCCCACGGATGAGCAACATGTGGTATGTTCACTGGACAGATTCCCTGTCCCCTTACTGTTGCCTGCAGCTCCTCAGAGCGACAGGGCTAACCCTACAGCAGGGCTATGAGAGCTCTCACCATATCCCGCTGGGCGCCCCACAGAATGTTTTCTGGCGGAGGTCAATCGTGCTTGGTGTCACGGTGACCGTTTTCTGAATATTAATCACAGGCCGGGACCTGAAATCAAAGGAGTAAAACACAGGCTCAGCCTTCTGCTACCTTCAGTGTGAGATGAATCCACATGCGATCAGCCGCCTACTATATCTTAAAAACCACAGAGGGGAAAAACGTTCCCCCATTTCTAAAGAAAAGAACGGTTAGCAGATACCATTTAAAACCCGATGATACAAATTTTACCCAAACATTTTAAATAATAACATTTATTTCTAATTATAAAATGTTTTGTCATCTTAACAGAAGTTTTTAAATGGAAAGGAACATGGTCAATTTGCAAAAGTTCTAGAGTTTTCAGGCAAATATTATGGCTCTGTCCCCACCCAAACCCCCAAGTAGCCTGGTATGTCCTTCCAGACACCGCTCAGTGCTGCTTTTCCCCACTGACAGTTCAGTGGCCTTCTCCTGCCTCTCCACAGATCTAGTTCCCTGTCTCTCAGGCTGGTGGTTCTGCTCTGCCCCCACGCAACGGCACGGATTCAACCAGTCCCTGGCGGGTAGACGCTTACACTGTTTCTAGGCTCACAGCTCTGACAAACCTCCTTGGACACATTTCTAGGCACACATGTGAATTTCCCTGTAGGATAAACTCCTAGCAGAACTTCAGAGTTGAAGAATGTGTGCATGTTTAATTAGGAGTAATCTTGCCAAAATGCCTTCCAAAAAGGTTAAAAACCCACATACACCTACTACCAGGGATGCTCACTATCAGGGTTTCTACATACACATGAATTTTAGGAATACAGGCAAACCTGAGCTGACAGGGCTCCATCCTACAAACATTTGCCCTTCCTTGGAACCTCCTGCCGGCAGAAGGGACTATAACTTTTCCACCCCCACGGGATCTCCGTAAGCAAACGCTTCACGCCCTCCGCCTTTCCCGTCTCTGCTCTGCCTAACCCCAACCTCGCAAACACACGCAAGCAGCTGGAATCCCACACCTTTGGCCCTTCTCACCATACAAAAACATCTCTGCTCTCCCTTCCAGCTTTTCCCCTACCTCCCACAGCCAAAGGTGTCGCCACCAGCCTAGGTCCTGACCCCCCCAACAGGTACAACAAATCCAAGGATATGGTGCAAGTGGGATGGGGAGAGAGGCCCCTCTCATCTGGGTCACTCCCCAGCCAGAACTCAGAATGGATTCCATGGTTCCATTACCACATGGATCCAGTTAGACTGACTTTAGTGGGCTTCTGGTAACCCAGCCATCCTGGGGAAGATAGGAAAATGCATTCGAAATCCCAGACAGCGAGCTGGAACTTCTGGAATCAGTCTGTCGAGAGGCTAGAGAAGACACAGGTACGTTCATGGGCAAGGTGCGAGCCTGTAGAAGGACAAATGCTGCCCACATTCCTGTTTCTACATTTCCTTCTATCTCAATTGTTTACCTTTCTATTGTTATTTTAGACAGCTGCTAGTTTCTAAGATACTAACCAGATACATTCCTAATTAAAGTTTTGAGAGCATATTTAAGAGGCAAAAATCCACACAAATATCTTAAAACCAATTGCTAGAGATGCAAGAATGTTTTATATATCATAGTATTAAGGCCTTAATGTGACATAGATATCAGAAGGAAATAATACACACTTCTGCCTAAAACATTTTTATTTGTTTTTTATTTAAAATCCTTTTGTTTTTTTAGTAATCTCTACACCCATCCCAGGACTCAAACTCAAGACCCTGAGATCAAGAGTCACATGCTCTTCCAACCGAGCAAGCCAGGCACCCCTTATTTCTGCTTTTTTAAACATAACAACAAATACAATTTTGAGTTCACAGTACATTATGAATCAGGAAAAATGTGCCTTAACACATAAAGCAAATCTTACTGGTTCAGCTACCTCTTGTTTGATTAGCATGTATTTATGAACTACCCTGAAGTACTAATATGATTTAGTGGGAAAAATGCCCGGACGCTGAGATCCTGTGCTCCCAGGATCCAGCCTCCAAAGCTTAAGCAGTCCTGGGCCTCCCCTTCCTCATTTGTAAAACAAGGGAATTGGGTTCTCCTTTTTTTAATGAAAGGATTTTAAAATTTACTTTTGTGCTGTCTCTGAGGAAAGAAGGAACAAGTTCACAGGGTTCATACTCAACCTACTTATTAGGACAGGAATATTTTAATATATACCAGCTATATTCAGAAGCAAATATTTAACTCACTAAAAATAGGCTATGTGCTGAGAAAACATGGTAACCAAATTTTGGTACAGGAAGTCAAGTCTTCTTGATACCTGGGGGCTATACCTCAACTAGAAGTGCAAACTGCATTTTGATGAATATTCTATATTCTTTCACCTTTTAAAAACACAATATTTTAAGGGGTGCCTGGGTGGCACAATCCGCTAAGCACCCAACTCTTGGTTTTGGCTCGGGTCATGACCTCAGGGTCGTGGAATCGAGCCCCATGATGGGCTCCACGTTCAGCACAGAGTCTACTTGAGATTCTCTCCCTGTCCCTCTGCCCCTCCTGCTTGTGCTTGTGTGTGTGCTCTCCCCAAAATAAATAAATCTTAATAAATAAACATTGAATATTTTAAGATTAATACCTATATGAACAAAGAGAAACAGGCATATAAAGGTAGTGTTTGAGAACCACCAGACAGAACACAGGCTGAACGCTTTAACCGCAGATGGCACACAGTACCACACACGGCGTCTCCAGTGTGACAGCTCAGGTCACTGGGTTCCTAGGACAAATACGTATCACCACCAACACAAACCACTACTGATCTATCCATGTTTTCCCAAGGTCTCTCGTTTCTCAATCACGTACACACAGTTCATTTAATTTTTTTTTAACTTCCTTTTTCCTCACTAACATCTCAGATACACCCTTCTCCACTTCTTTTCACGTCTCCTACTCTTGTCACCTGTAACTTCTGTGGTGGTTCTTCGTTTTCCCATGAAATGGCTTTCATAGATCTTGCCATCTAACCAGAAAACTTTTTCTATGATATCCTACGCTACATTCTCTCTATATATATACTGTATACTTCTTTTTTTTTTTTTTTTAA